CGTGCTCTTATCCCATTGGCTCCTGAGATTTTCCAGGCCTTTGGAATTACCCTGGATTACACCAATGGACTCACTGAAAACTGGAGTTATGGGTGGTTGTAAACCATCATGTGGGTGCCAGGAATTGGACCTGGATCCTCTATAGGAGCAACAAATGCTCCTAACTGCTGAGCCATCTCAACAGCCCCATTTTAAGAACTTTAATCTTATACCATCTCCTTTAGTTGAGAATGAGTAGCTCTCCAAAGGGTATTTAATGGGTTGAGTACTTGGTCCCCAGCTGATGTGCTATGGAGAGATGAGTGGTTGGTGTGATCATTAACTTCATCATTGGACCAATCCACAGTTGAGTCCATAGCTGAACAGCCTAGTTGGCAAAGGTAGGTCCCTGCTTTCGTAGGGTCTACTGTCCTGAACCCTAGCCATTCTCACTCTCCTCTGCTTCCTGTACATTATGAGGGATGCAGCCTCCCAACCCTAAATTATCACCACTGTGAAGTCCTATTTCATCTCAGGCACAAAGTGAAGGAAATAGCCCACGATGGATAAAACATAAAAAACTTGAACCAAAATAAATGTTCTATTTTATTCACTTATTCGTTTATTTATTATATATATACAATGTTCTGTCTGCATGTATGCCTGATGACCAGCAGAGGGCACCAGATCTCATTATGGATGGTTGTGAGCCACCATGTGGTTGCTGGGAATTGAACTCAGGACTTCTGGAAGAGCAGCCAGTGCTCTTAACCGCTGAGCCATCTCTCCACCCCCAAATATTGTATTTTTTTTTCAAGTTGTTTTTCCCAGGTGTCTTCATCCCAGCAGCAGAAAGGTAACACACATAGTTCAATGAGGTAGTAAATGAGGCTACTCCCATATTGTGGACAGGAAACTGAAACTCAGATTAAGCGATAAATTCATCCAAGGTCATCATTATTTGAGAAATTTTACAGGTAAAAGTTCAAGGCTCTTTAGGAATTGCCCAGGAGCATTTGCATTGGAATGTCTTGTTTTCCAAAATACTTTTATAAATTACTGCACCCCAATTATACATAGTTGTCCTAGTCATCAAAAATATTTGTTATTGCTGAGCATGATGGTACACACCTTTAAACTCAGCAATTGGATCTCCAAGTTCCAAGCCAACCCAGGCTAAATAGCAAACAAGCAAAGTTATTTGAATAACTGATTTTCTCTGCTTCCATATCAGTCAAAAGCCTTCCCTTTCCTGTTTTGAAAAAAATAATTTCTCAATTACTGAATTTGGCAAAAAAAAAAGTAGTCATGCTCTAAATTAGATTCTGTCTAATGGAAAACATTGCCATCTAGTTCCACTATAAATTGTTGATGCTTCCATAAAACAGGAAAAATGAAGGATGGTCGTATTTAGTCGTAGAAAATTGGGAAAGAGAATTCTTTTTATTTTACTTAATGGGCCAATGGCGTACCTCCCAGTGTGGAAACAGAAAAATTGTGCCTGTGCCAATGCTGCAGCTCGGTAATTAGAAGAGAAAGCGTGTGTGGAAAAGATCCTGCTATCTCAAGCTTCCGGAAGCGGGGGTCTCCAGAGTCAAACGGGCTCAAGCACTGTCCTTCCTAAGGGTAAATTACTTCGTTTATAAAATGGCATTCACCACTACCCGGGCCCCCCATCCCGACCCCTCGCCGCCTGTGACAGGTGGGAGAGCTGGCCCTGAGGTCGTAAGAGCAGGAGAGCTGTCCCTGCTCCCCATCAGCTGCAGAACTTGGGAGAATGGCCCCTACCCCCTGCCTGGGCAGCACAGTAGACTGGCCCCTGATGGTATAGGTGTGGAAGGGCCAACCCGGAAGATGTGAAAGCAGAACTGGCCCCGCCCCTTGCTCATGGTTGCTAGGGGTGAATAGCCAGGGCAATGTTGAAGAGCTCACCCTGGTGGTAAGGATGGGAAAGAGCTAGAGGCTGACCAACCCTGCAATCACCCAGACCCAAAATCAGGGTTATGAGTTGGTCCACCCCAAAACCCACCCCATCTACGAGCTGCTGGAACATGCGAAGGGGCTGATCTTACAGACCCAAAGCTGTAGGGTCTCCTCAACACAGGGCAACAACAGGATATCCAAGAGGAGTCCCACTGAGGGTCCAGCATGGATGCTGTGGTAGGACCAGAGGCCTCGAACCAGACCAATGACTCTTTGCAATGAACACTTGTAAGTAAAGTGGATAAAAGGGTTTACTGCGTGACTCATTAGACTCACTATGTCACACTACAACTTCCATGATGAGATTTTTCCTTTTTTTTATCTTAAACTTTATTTTGTTTTATTTGTTGGTTGGGGGTGGTACATGGGCAGAGGGTGGATACAAAGGGACTGGGAATGAGTGGGATAGAGATGCACGATGTCAAAGACACAGAAATAAATAAATAAATAAATAAATAAAAGGAAGTTAAAAATAAACGGCATTCACTAGTATTACTGTAGAGAAAATCCTGCTTAGTGTTTGGTACACAGTAGATCTTCAGTAAATGTCAGAAACATTGACTCTTGATAGCATAGAGGATTAAACCTTTCCTAGGTCTTATTTTTTTTAAATTTCATGTACATTTGTGTTTTGCCTGCATGAACGCCTGTGTGAAGGTGTTGGGTCCCCTGAAATTGGAGTTACAGACAGGTGTGAGCTGCCATGTGGATCCTGGGAATTGAACCCTGGTCCTCTGGAAGAGCAGCCACTGCCCTTAACCACTGAGCCAACTCTCCAGCCCCTTCTTGCCTAGGTCTTCTTATTGAGTGATGGAGCTAGACCAGGCATTGGGAAATTAGGGCATGGTTGTGAACCCAGGCTACCGTGAGGCACACGTGTCTATCGTACAAACACGTGCACTTTTCCATCTGTAAAATAAGAATCACGAAATAAAGTGATTGCAAGTTTGAAATTAAACACACATCTCACTCTATGTAAATATACATATATATGTTCCACTGGCTATTTTGAGCTAAATCATTTGAGTAACTAATCTCTGTTTCTCTATCAGCTGAAAACTATCACTTGGTTTTCTGGGATGATTCAACTTGTTTAAAACTAGATTCTTTATATCAACGTCTAGACAAAATATATCAGTGCTCATTTCTCAAGTGTAATAGGTATTACTCTTTCTCAATAACTGTTAGATTAAAATGGCAGGTGTCAGCTGGACATTGATCCCAGCACTCAGGAAGCAGAAGCAGGCAGATCTCTGTGAGTTTGAAGCTGGCCTGGTATACAGAGCGAGTTCCAGAACAGGCTCCAAAGCAATACAGAGAAACCCTGTCTTGAAAAACCACCCAAAAAAGTGTTTTTTTGTTTATTTCTTTTTCTAGCCTTCGGGTATATTGTATTATAATATGTGAGGTAAATGATATCCACTACTGTCAGTTGGCCATGGGATGACAAAAATTTACCTGAACCCAGAAACACACTAGGCCCTGAGAGTGCAACGTTTGGAAACATTTCACCTTTCTAGTCTCCGTGGTGAAATGTGTGGATAACAATGGGCTCATTTTCAAACATGGAATTCCACACATATTTCCTTCTAAAGTCTCTCTAATTGCAGCCAAAGATGGTCAGGTCTAAATCCCTTCTTTCTAACCCTCCTGTCTTTCCCCTCCACTGGCTTCCCCCTTGCCTCCCTCCTTTATCTCCTACCCCTGTCTTCCTGGTTTTAAACATTTGGAAAGTGATAGTGTTTGGCATAATTGTTGTATGTTTTGCTGAGACATATATATATTCAAAGGAAAATCAAAGTGAATGTTCTTACAGTATTTTTTTCCTTTTGTCCCAAGAGAAAACTAAAATTGTCTCTACTTCAAAAATATCTGAAAATACCCCCTTTTCTAAACTTTGTATGTATTCCTGTTTTAAGACACATCTTGTGACTATAATTTATGTCTAATTATCATTATTTTTATATTCATTCAATAAAACACAACATACTCTAATTTTTTTTGTTGTTGTTTTGGTTTTTTTGTGGTGGAGTTTCTCTGTATAACAATCCTAGCAGTCCTGAAACTCACTCTGTAGATCAGGCTGGCCTTGACCTCACAGAAATCCACCTGCTTCTGCCGGGATTAAAGGTGTGCACCATTACCAGCCAACCAAAACATACATTTTTAGATAGGTCCTGTGGGTCACAAGCTGACTTTGAACTCACTGTGTAGCCATGGGTGGCCTTGAACTCTGATCCTTTTACCTCTGCATCTTCAGAGTACTAGGAATCCAAGAACGGTGTCTCGTTTTTTTTCATTCAACAAATGTTTATTGAGCATCAGTCTGTGTTCTAGGCCATGGCATCTTAAACTGTGAGCTGTGGACCTATTTGGGGTTGCTTAACTGAAGGTGGGTATCATGAAACATTTGGCAAAAAGAAAAAGGTTCTGAGTGCACATTGACCAAAATCTAACTTAAAATTAAATGGATAAGAACTCGGAGGAGTCTCTAGGAGTGTTTGCTTGTGTTAGTTGCATGGTGTGATTTCCCCCCAGGCTTAGTTCTGAGCACACAGTATGTACTTTGCATCGTGCATGCTGTCACAGCATGCACAGTCAAGCCATGCTGCCTGAAACACTTCAGCTCAAGGCTGCCCTTGAACTCACTGTATAGTTGAGGGTGGCTTCTGATTCTTCTACCTCCACCTCAGATGCTTGCAATATGTAGATGCTGCTAGGCCAGTACATGTGATGCCTGGATGCTAACCCAAGACTTTGCACATGCTAGGCAAGCACTCTACTGCCAGAGCTACATGCCCAGCCTGCTGTATCTATTTTATATGCCTATATACCGGGGGATACATAAAAAAATGTTTAGGTATGGGACTAGAGAGGTAGTTCAGCAGTTAAGAGTATTTGCAGGTCTTCCAAAGGACCAGAGTTCAATTTCCAACACCCACATCGGCAGCTTCCAACTGCAACTATAGTTCCAGAGGATTGATGCCCTCTTCCGCCCTCCATGGAGCCTGAAATCACATGCATAAACATGAACATAATTAAATAAAAATAAAATATATTAAAAAATTCTTGCTGGGTGTGGTGCCACACATCTTTAATCCCAGCACTTGGGAGGCAGAGGCAACTGCTGGTTCCTTGTAAACTGGGACTACATAGCAAGTTCCAGCCCGAGCTACACAATGAGAACTTGTCTCAAAAAAAAGAAAGAAAAGAAAAACCACAAAATTCCACACACACACACACACACGTGCCCCCACCTACTCAGGTGAGAGGGGACAAAGTGGAACACAAGTTTTGAAAATCCTATTTATTTAAGGCACAATGTGACCAGAATTTCAGGTGCCTTGATCTCTACTGAAAACCAGGAGAAGAGGAGCCAGTGAAAGGAACAGACTTATTTACAGTTTTGTCTAGAACCGAGGAAGTAAAATTCTCAGCTTCTCTGCCTTGCAGCAGTGTTAGAATTCACAGAAAAGACGGGACAAATGCCAGGACATTCGAATGTGTTGGTTTAGCTATGAGATAAGCCATCAAAACTGTGAGAGGAATCTTCTTGGGAGCCAGGGTTTAGGCCTATCCTGACCCCCAAGCAGGATTTCCTGAAGAAATTCTAATTATGACTCCCATTACTGAGGTAGTACAGAGAGCCAGGGGAATTATGGAGGCTTGAGTAGGGAAAGGAACCCCCTAACTCCGGAATCTGGTTAAAGCCAGATTCTGGAGCACAATTACTACTTGTGTAAGAACCTTTTCTCTTCCCAGGCATAAACCTGCAATTTCTGGTAAACTAACCAGAAAACACATTTCTAAGGACAGGACATGTACTAACTAACCCCTTCAACAGCTCTAGTGGCTTCTAGTTTTACCTCGTAAGATCATAATTATTCTGTTCAAGGCAGGGAGAGGTCATAGTGACCTTCAGATGTACCTCAGAGCCACCATGCTAATACTAAGAAAATTAATGGCTCCCTCTCCCTTGAGGAGCCCATACCTTTGTCTTACTTGGGAACTGCATGTCCCCATCTGAGTTTGCCTTACCTTCCTCTGACAGCATCTCTTTCTCTTAACCTTGTTCTCCATCCTGAAGTAAAAAGATCTTTAATACAGTTTCTAAATCTGCTTAACTATATTCTCTGAAATTCCATATATACTAAGTAACTGAATTCACTGTTATTCTAAGTATGTTATATATTCTAAATAGCTGAAATTCTCCTCAGCATTGAAGCCTCAAATCCTGGCTTGGCCTAAATCAAAGTCCCAGAAAACATCAGAAAACATCGAGGACCTCCTCAGACTAGGGAGGGTAGCCGCTAGACAGATAAAAGTAGACCGTAAAAGGTGTTCGTTCATAAGTGCGCATTCCCTTAAAGTGGGGTACAGTGGCACCCATCATTCCCCTTACAGTATGATACAGTGGCACCCATTTGTAGTTCAATTCCAGTCCCTCCTGTGGCACGGTCTGACACGTTGTCAGAACTGTGTGATTTCACACAGGCTCTTCCTCTGTCTGGTGTCTAGAATCTGACCTTTTCTTTCTCCCAGCAAGAGTCTCCTAGGGAAATTCCAATTCCTTGGAGACTGTTATCTCACTAGTCCGATAGCCAGAGGGAGGAGCAGGAGCGTCTTTAGAAGATCTTCATTGCAGTCGAAGGTTGACACGATCGCTGGAGGAGTTGTGGGGAGAAAGAGGCGGCTTTCTCATACTGAGATTATGAGTCCCAGAGCAGAAAGGGCTCCCTCAAATGGGAAGGCAGGGAAGCAACCGTGAAGGCGCATGTCAGTCAGGAGGAGGCTGGGAGGAGAGGTGAGACAACAAAGAGAGAGAAGCGTGTTGGGAAGAGAAGCGTGAAATGTGTCAAATGCCGCTGAGAGCGATGACAGATAGGACCTTAGATCTGTCAAGTTAGAAGACTATGACAAAAGTGAACCTTAGCGTAATAGTGGAGAGGGTTGGCAAATTGTTCTTTTACGCAGCCACTGACATTTGCACACAAACCCCAAATTCTCCACATCTTTGCCAACCTATGTTTTCTTTTTTTTTAATTTAAATTAGAAACAAGGTTGCTTCACATGACAGTCCCAGCTCCCTCTCCCTCCCCTCCTCCCATGCCCTCCCACCAACTCCATCTCCCATCCCCCTCCCCCAATCCCCATACCTTTCCCCAGGGAGGGTGAGGCCTCCATGGGGGGTATCCATAATCTGTCATGTCATCCAGGGCAGGGCCTAGGCCCTCCCCCAAGAGTCCAGGCTGAGAGAGCATCCCTCATTGTGGGATGGGCACCCAAAGTCCATTTGTATGCCAGGGATACTGATCTACTACCCAAGGCCCCATCGATTGCCTAGGTCTCCTCACTGACACCCATATTCAGGGAGTCTGGATCAGTTTCATGCTGGATTCCCAGCCATCAGACTGGGGTTCAAGAGCTCCCCCTTGTTCAGGTCAGCTGTTTCTATGGGTTAAACAAGCCCAGTATTGACCCCTATGCTCATCAGTCCTCCCTCTCGGTCACTGGGTTCCTTAAGTTCAGCTCAGTGTTTGGCTGTCTGCCTCTCCTTCCATCAGTCATTGGTTAAAGGTTCTGTTCCCCAGACTCTCTGGCAGTGGAATTGTAGGCTGGCACTCCCCTGATACATATCTAAAATCTATATATGAGTGAGTACATACCATGTTTGTCTTTTTGTGTCTGGGTTACCTCACTCAGGATGGTTTCTTCTAGTGCCATCCATTTGCCTGCAAATTTCTTTCTTTTTTTTTTTTTTTTGGTTTTTCGAGACAGGGTTTCTCTGTGGCTTTGGAGGCTGTCCTGGAACTCGCTCTTGTAGACCAGGCTGGTCTCGAACTCACAGAGATCCTCCTGCCTCTGCCTCCCGAGTGCTGGGATTAAAGGCGTGCGCCACCAACGCCCGGCTTGCCTGCAAATTTCAAGATTCTATTGTTTTCTTCTGCTGAGTAGTACTCCATTGCCTAAATGTACCACATTTTCTCTATCCACTCTTCAGTTGAAGGACATCTAGGTTGCTTCCAGGTTCTGGCTATTACAAATAATGCTGCTATGAATACAGTGGAACAGACTTTCTTGTTGTATGAATATGCATCTTTTGGGTATATGCCTAAGAGTGGAATTGCTGGGTCTTGTGGTAGGCTGATTTTCATTTTCCTGAGGAATTTCCATACTGATTTCCAAAATGACTGTACGAGTTAGCACTCCCTCCAGCAGGGGAGGAGTGTTATTTTCTGGATTTTTCTTAAGCACCTAATGGCTATAAAGTGATATCTTATGTTTCCAGTCTATACCTTCCTAGTTATGTTGGCCATTTCCTATTCATTATTGGCCATTGGTGTCTTTGGAAAAACCTCTACTCCAGTTCTTTGTTCCTGTTTGAATTGGGTTGTTTTGTTGAAATTTAAGTGTTCTCCCTATGTTGTGGGTATTAAAGTCCTGTCAAACACATGATTTACAAATTTGTTTCCCATTATATGGGTTGCCATTTTATTCTTTATTTTCCAACAGTGGTTTCTCCATACACCTTTTTTGGGGGGTGGGTGGAGGGTGCTAGGAATTGAACCTGGGTTCCCAGGCATGCTAAAATTGCATTCAACCATATTTAAGTTTATATTCCATTAAGTCCAATTTGTCTGCTTTTTTTTCTTTTGTTGCCTTACTTTTGGAAACATAGAAATCATCACTAAATCTAACTGCAAAGTTTTTGTTCTGTACTTTCTTCTAAGAGCTTTAGATATTTAGGCATTTGGTTTATTTGGAACTAGTTTGAAATATTTATTTTATGTGTATGAGTGTTTTGCCTGATTGTGTGTCTGTGCATTACTAACATGCGTGGTACCAGTAGAGACCAGAAGGGGACATTGGTCCCCAGCCCCCTGAAACTGAAATTGTAGATGGTTGTGAATTTCTGTGTGGGTGCTGGAAATCAATCAAGCCTCAGTCCCCTGCAAGAGCAGCCAACTTTTTTTAAAAATCTCTTTGTCTATATTAATTCCTTAATATTTTATTAGTTTCTTGCTATCGTAAATTGATGTTAGTATAAACAAGTTCTGACTAGTTGTTGTGTGTTGATTTGATGCCAACTTTATTCTTTTTAGATTTATTTATTTAATTTTGTTTTTTTGAGATAGGCTTTCTCTGTGTAATAGCCCTAGTTGTCCGGGAAGTTGCTCTGCAGACCATGCTGACCTAGAATTCACAGAGATCCGCCTGCCTTTGCCTCCTGAGTGCTGGGGTTAAAGGTGTGCACCACCACCAGCCAGATACTTTAATTTTTAATTGTGTGTGTGTGTTGTCCAAAAGGGGGTATGAGCATGTGTGTACAGGTGCCCACCACAGTCAAAGGTGTCCAATACGTCCACACTTTTTGAATACTGAAAACTGAATTAGGGTCCTCTGCAAGAGCAGTATGTACTCTAAACCTCTGGGCTGTCTCTGCAGAGCTTAATTTGCTTTCTTAATTTTGATGAATTTTTACAGACTCTTCAGGGTTTTACACATACATGATTATACCATCTGGGCAACAGGTCATTTTACATTATTTTTTTCTTTCCCAATTGGGATGTCTTTTAATTTCTTTTCCTCTTCTAATTGCCTCTGGTGAAGCTTCCAGCAGTATGATGGGCAGAAACAGTGAAAGCGGGCAGCTCTGCCTTGTCCCTCATCTTGAAGTGGGAGCCTTCAGCCTTTCACTACTGAACATAATGCTGATGCTTGTGTGGAGATCGTATGGGAAATCTCCAGCTGCCTAAAACCGTTCTAAAAATATAATCTGTCTGAACTGCCATCAGCCACTGAGCCACAGATCCAAATACTTAGAGGCCAGTGTCCTTTGTACCCACTGCGGCTCCCACAAGCTGTATGAGAGCTGTTCCTGGAATGAGTGCCTGGCTGTCTGCCAAAAGGTTGAGTGTAGTTGGGTAACTGTTAACGTGCCAAGAGCTGAAAACGACCAACATTAACAGCCATTTGCCATCTAAGGCTTCCCCTGTGCAAGTTGCAAGCCTTCGTTGTGTTGAAGGCCATTTTCTATGAATGCTATTGCTTAAAGATGGGCTTGTGCATAAAGGAGGTATTTATTCACCTGTGCTCCTCGCCCTGGCCCCCGTGGTGAGGGCTCTTCATACTGTAAAAGGAGAATGAGAAACAGAGTTGAAGTGGAGTCTCTGTAGCTAGCGTGGTAGATTTGGTGGTGGGTGCTTTCGGGTTTTTGTTTTGTCTTTGCTTTGATGAAACAGACAGTTATAATATGAAAAGTCCATTGTAAAGAGTGGTAAGGGATTGCTGGAGGTATAATTATGACGGCTATGCAGACTTGATCACTGTGTTTAAGGCAATCATCCTATCTGTATGCTTCTCGCCACTTTGGGCTGCCTGTGGATGACTCTGAGCATGTGAGCATATGGGCTTAACAAATACGGCACACAGAACTGACTTACTTCAAATATTTGTATTTCCTTGTGTTAATAGGATGTCTGGAGTTTGAACTAGCTGCTTTAGTTCATTTGTGGTATTACCCTAAGGCTGGGTAATTTATAAAGAATATACATTTATGGAGATGGCTCCGTGATTAAGAGCACTTGTTGCTTTCATAGAAGACCTGGTTTGATTCCCAGAACACACATGATGGCTGCGTGGTTTAAATGAGAATGCTCCCCACCCCAACTAGCTGCATATATTTGCAGGCTCAGTCCTCTGCTGAAAAACTGTTTGGGAAGGATTAGGGGGTGTGGCCTTGGAGGAGGTGTATGCTGGGGGTGGGGCTTTGAGGTTTCAAAAACCCAAACCAGGCCCAGTCTCTCTCTGTCTCTGTCTCTCTGTCTCTGTCTCTCTCTCTGTGTCTCTGTCTCTCTCTGTCTCTGTCTCTGTCTCTGTCTCTCTCTCTGCTTATGGATCAGGACATAAAGCTCTCAGGTACTGCTCCAGCATCTTGACATGGGTAGGCCTTCCTGTATACTGTCATGCTCCCTGCCATGAAGATAATGGACTGACTAACCCTTTGAAGCTATAAGCAAGCCCCCAGTTAAACGCTTTCTTTTGTAAGAGTTGCCTTGTGGCGAGTCTCTTCACAGCCATAGAGCAGTGACCAAGGCAGCGGCTCAAGGCACCTGTATCTCCAGTTCCAGGGGATCTAATACCCTCTCCTGACTTCTGTGGGCACCAGGCATGCATGGAGTACACATACATAGATGCAGGCCAAACACTCATAGACATAAAATAAATGCTTTTAGATGACAATACATGCATATCTTACAGGGCTGTTGGCTACCAGCCCATGAGCAGGGCACCAGCAGGTTCCCCACTGGGGCCAGGCTCCACTTCCAAGATGGGCTCTTGCTTCTTCATTCTCCTGAAGGGAAGCTGTGTACAAGAAACAGATAAGGATAAAAGGGGCAAACTCTGTTGGTCAGGGGGGCCCAGAGATGTTCAGAACAAGACAGGCTATCGTCATCAATTTTCATTGTTTTTCATTGACTGCCAGCATGTGGTAGCGAAAACACCATGCCTTATGGGAGAACTGACTACTGTTATTTTGCTAAATGGACATAGCATTAAACTATCTCTCAATGCTTACCTTTTAAATAATAAAAAAAAACATACAGTCTGGGGGGGGTGGCACAGGGTTTTTAATCCTAGCTCTCTAGACACAGGCAGATCTCTGAATTCAAGTCCAGCCTAGTCTACAGAGTGAGTTCCAGGACAGCCAGGGCAGTTACACAGAGAAACCCTGTCTCAAAAAAAAAAAAAAGGAGGAGGAGGAGGAGGAGGAAGAGGAGGAGGAAGAGGAGGAGGAGGAGGAGGAGGAGGAGGAGGAGGAGGAGGAGGAGAAGAAGAAGAAGAAGAAGAAGAAGAAGAAGAAGAAGAAGAAGAAGAAGAAGAAGAAGAAGAAGAAGAAGAAGAAGAAGAAGAAAAAACAAAGAAAAAAGAAAGAAAAGAATTACTAGAAAGGAGGCATGTGATTAGAGGACAGGTTGCAGGAGTCCATTCTCTTTTTGTCCCAGCAATCAAACCGAGGTCATCAGGCATGGCTTAAAACTGCCATTTTGACTTTGGACTCCATTTTACCTGTAGTATGAAATGAAGTTCAGGTTCCCAAGCCCTGGGGAAACTGAGAACTTCCCAAGGGCTGATCAGCCTCCTCCCTTCACCATAGAAATAGTCAGTATGCCTCTTTAGCTCTCTAGAAACATTGTAGCTGTTCCTAACAACAGAAGGAACAAATGAATCTGATTGGTTGGACTAAAAGGCTTGCATTGTATGTAAGTTGACAATGATGGAACGTCAAGAAAAGTCCCTAATCTTTGATTTCTGATTGGTGAACATTGTAACTGTAACTTGGCAACAAGTGCTGGTGAATTTTAACGAGGAGAAACAAGGTTCCCGAGTCCTTGTCCTGCAGCCCTGACCGATCAATGACCCACTTATGCGGTGAATTAAAATCTTTGAAACTGCATAACGGGCTCGGTGTAACATACCCTTATATCCATGGATCAGTAAAGTCCTCAGGCCTCATTGGAGAGTATTTTTTGCAGTGGATTGTTACTCACACAGAGACTCACAGCTGGCTAGTGGGTGGAGAGTAAGTTGACAGGGGAATACTCACCCTTAAATGAATAAGTATATGACCCACCCCACCCCCCCACAAGGCCCAGGGAACATTTTAGAAGAGATGGAGAAAAGTTTGTTAAGAGCCAGAGGCAAGGAGAGCTGCTGAAAAAAAAAATCACTGTTTTCTGGATGTGTCAGGACCATCACACCCACAAACTCACAGACGTGGGTCCTAGAAAGACACCTGCAAGGTCAAATCGGTGGCTTTCTAGCAAGGATGGGGAATGCTGGCAGGAGTGGGACACACTCCTCCTCGCTGAGAAGTGATTAGTAGTTGACAGCTTCTGGGAAGGAGAAGCTTTTTTTTTTTTTTTTTTTTGATGTGGCTCCTGGTGGGTGGCTCATGACCTTACTTTTGTAGGTATGTGGGCAGCACTAGTTGGATTTAGTGGATTGAAAAAACAAAAAAGAACTTGTCAATTAGAATGTCTGGGCGGTGTTAGGGGTGGGGATTGGGGGAAGGATATGTTCAAATATGTTATATATACTCATGATATTCTCAAAGAATAAGTTTAAAATTATATACATATGCATATATTATGTATGTATTATGTGTGTGTGTGTATCTTCTATTAAATCCTTTTGTAAAGGGAGCAATCTGTTTGTATTAAGCCCTCATAACCTAAACACCCCCAAAGCCTGCCTTCCCAGCATTGTGACTATGGTGATTGATTTTTTTTTCCTTTTTTTTTCTTCTTTTTTGTTTTTGAAACAGGGTCTCTCTGTGTGGCCTTGGCTGTCCTGGAACTAGCTCTGTAGACCAGACTGGCCTCTAATTCACAGAGATCCTCCTGCCTCTGCCTCCCAAGTGCTGGGGATTAAAGGTGTGGGCCACTACTGCCCAGAAGTGATTGAATTTCAATACACAAATTTTAAAGGATACATTTTTCAGATCACAGTGCTGGTCTTCCAAGTAAGAAAGTGTTTTGGGGATTCTTGGGTTTTGTTTTGTGTGTTTGTTTTGAGATGGGGGAGATCTCATCATGTAGCTTAGATTTGCCTCAAACCCTGTCCTCCTACCTTAGCCTCCCAAGTGTTGGGATTACAAGTGTTTACCACCACACCCAGTTTAAGAGGCTATTTGTGAACATCCCTTGCCCTTGTGATTAAGCTTCATCCGTGGAACATGAGCTGTGAAGTTGGCAACTCCTGAGTCATTCTCCTAAAGAAGGTACCTGCCTGACCTCAGTAATTATGATAATGAACTATTTAGCCTCAGGGGAGGGATGGGAAGTTTTTAATTCTCCCAGATGGATGGGGAATAAAATAATAGTCTCACTGAGTTGTAAATTTAACCAAATAAAAAATATTTTGAAAGGAGATCTTTTGAAAGATAAGGATGATGATGAGAGAGTGGTACCTGGATGAGGGCTAGCACTTATGCCAGGCATGACGGCTCACACCAGCTAGCAAATTGTAGGTCAATTTGGGCTATCAAGTGAGCTCCTGTCTCAAAACACACACACACACACACACACACACACACACACACACACACACACACACACACGTAATATGTCAAGAATGAGCATCTGAAGTAAAGAAGAAAACAAAAAAAATCATGACAAGAATATCAAGCAATCAATCAGCTTCTGCAGAAGTTTGGCTGATATCAAGAATAGAGGATGAGGCGCTGGAGCAATGGCTCAGGGCTCAACTGCACTCGTTGCCCTTGCAGAGGGCCAGGGTTTGGTTCCCAATACCCACAAGGCGGCTCAGAACCATGCAGTTCTAAGAGATCCAGTGGCCTCTTTTGACCTCTGGGGGGCACTGAATGCAAATGCTGACCATTCATTGTACCTGGAGGCAAAATACTCATAAACATAAAATAATCCCCAAAAATATGGGTGGGCAAAACGGCTCATCAGCAAATGCACATTTACCAGCAAGGCTGACAACCTGAGTTTGGTCCCTGGACTCCACATGGTAAGAGGGGGAGAAGTGACGCCTGCAGGTTGCCTTCCAAACTCCACGTGCACACAGGCAGATATGGTGCTGGAGGAGGAGAGTCCTACCTCAGAATTGGCAGGCGGCAGGAAGAACGAGAGAGATGGTGGGCCTGTCTTGAGCATTTGAAATCTCAAAGCCCACCTGCAGTGACACACTTCTTCAACAAGGCCACGTGCCGGAATCCTTTCAGATAGTGCCACTCCCCATGAGCCCATGGGGGGGGGGCATTTTCATTCAAGCCACCACACTAATAGACAGTTTTCACAAGGAGAAATAAAATGATCCATAAATACTCGAAAATGTGGTCAACAACCTAAGCCATCAAAGAAATCCAAATTAAAGGTGAGGGGATAGAAGACCGCACATAGACCTCTGGGAATGGGAGTTGGTATAGTCACTGTGAGAATGACTATGGAGGTTCCTCGAAGACTGAAGACAACAACGAAGTCTAAAACTACTGTATGACTTACCTATACCTGTTCTGGGAATCGACCCAAAGAACTCTGAGGCTGTGCACCACACAGACAACAGCATCATACTGGGGAGGGGACACCCGGAAGAAATCAGTGGGGAAGTTGAAGCAGTAAGCTACAATCCCCAGTGTTCCAGATGAGCACATGGTGCTGTATTTCCTCTGCAGGGTTTATTATATCATGAGATAAAGAATGGTAACGTGTGTTAGAAGTAGCTTACATTCTAGCAGCTCTCAAGGCCGAAGTGTTTTTAACACCCTTATCTCCCTGTTACAGACTTCAGTGGCCAGTCTGCCCCAGGACAGGGAGTGTGGGAGGGCAATTAAGACAAACATGCCTGGATCTGAAGAGGGGGTGGGAGAACGGCCCCACTTCCAGAGCCAGCTTCTAGGTGACCCTGGACAGCACGTGAAAATTACCTGTATAGCTTACATGGTGGTGGGTATGCTGACTCTGAGAGCCAGTTAGAGCAAGGTCAGGGATCAGATAGGGAGACTCTGTGTCCCATTGTGCTGGTTGTCCACTGTCGTCTGGAAAAAAAAGAAGATCAAAGAATGAACAAAAACATTTTCTTGGAGTTTGGGTTGGTTTCTTAGGTAGTTTTCAGTGAATGCAGGCGAGGAAAGTCCCAAGAATGACATCATTCAAAAGTCTATCCCCAAACTTCAGTAAGCTCATGTGTCTAAAGATACTGGCTCATCAATGACATGGATGAAATTGGAATATGATACTGACTTGATGATTATGAAGAATAAATGTGCGATAGACTAAACTACGGACTCCAGCCTGTTGCCACTTCATGTGGGTATATTTCTTGCTTAACATTTTGCAGTTCACTAAATAGGTAAAGTATGTTTTCTTACCTCTTTAATTTAGGTCTGGCCGCCGCATGACTTGGTTTGGCCTCTAGAAGGTCGCAGAAGCAGTGCTGGGCCGTTTCTCAGCAGAGGTGTCAAGAAGCCCTTTGGGTTTCTAGCCTCATTCTTGTGCTTCTGCCTTCCCACAAAAACAACGTATTCCACACAGATCACTGGCTCCAAGAAGAGTCATACCAAGTTTGACTATTTTAGTTAAGATGCCCAGCCAAACCCAGCCTACAGCAGAATTCCCCGTCAACTTAGACACACGAGGGAGACCAATCAATCCCTGGCAGACCACAGACATATGAACTACAAGGAAGGAAGGAAGGAAGGAAGGAAGGAAGGAAGGAAGGAAGGAAGGAAGGAAGGAAGGTCTTTCTAAAGCTTGTCTTAGTTGAGGTTACTCAAAGGGGTAAACTAAACTCAAACTTCACTTCTAATAATTTAGAAATAAAAGGATTAGACCCTCTCACTCGTCCCCTGCTTTAGCAGCCGTGACAAGCTACAGAAAAGACATGTAGGCCCCTGACACAAGGAGACTCCAGATCCTCTGGCCTCCTGGAGTCTAAGGCCAAAACTGAACACAGAGAAACTCCAGACCACCCCCACCACACCCCCCACCCCACCTCCTAGACGCTTGTTTCCTGGGAACTGTTTGGCCACAAAAGAAACTCTAAGGGGACCAAAACCTCCCGTGTAGTTTCCAGGATATAGTTCTGAAAACTACTGATGTAATCCTGTAACTTCTGTCTTTAAAACCTAGCAGTAGACAGGGAACTTCACTCCCTCTGGAGGCTGCTGAGCCAGCTTGCTAGACCGGGTCTCTTGTCATGGTTGGATGAGCAATCAATACAACTAAAACCTTGCTTTTGCAGTTTAGTGGGTCTGTCTTCCTGGTGGTCTTTGGGGATCTTTGCAACTTGGGCACAACAGTTACTCTTGCTGTGGTGAAATAAGACCAAAGCAATATGAGGAGGAAATGGTTTATTTGGTTAACACTTCTACTTTGTAGTCCATCACTGAAGGAAATCAAGACAGAAAGTGAAACAGGCAGGAGCCCGGAGGCAGGAGCTGATGCTGAGGTCACGGCAGGGTGCTGCTTACTGGCTTGCTCAGCAGGCTTTTTCATAGAACCCAGGAACACCAGTCCAAATATGGCACTACCCACACTGGGCTGGGTCCTCCGCCATCAATCACTAACTAGGAAGATGCCCCAGAGTCAGATCTTCTGGAGGCATGTCCTAAACTGAGGTTACCTCCTTTCAGATCACTAACTTGTATCAAGTTGACATAAAACCAGCTTACAAAAAGCTATTGATATTTAGGGTTAATTACTACTCAGAAATAATTTACTGATATAAGGTAAAAAGAATGAAACAATATCATATAATAATATCAATGCTCTGTTTACTATGTGAGTGAAATAAATGAAGCTTGTGAATAATACTTTCTAATTATTTTTGTTTTATTTTGTTTGGCTTTTTGAGACAGGGTTTCTCTGAGTAGCTTTGGAGTTTGTCCTAGAACTCGTTTTGTAGACCAGGCTGGCCTCAAACTCACAGAGATCCGCCTGCCTCTGCCTCCTTAGTGTTGGGATTAAAGGCGTGGGCCACCAACGCCCAGCCTGAGCATTTCATTTTTACTATGATTTCCTAGTACACTTAAGTAGGTGAAGTATGTTTGCTTACCTCTT